CGACTGGAACAGCACATCAACAGAGAACTACCAGAAGTCCAGGCTGGTTTCAGAAGGGGTCGTGGTACTAGAGATATTGTAGTTGATGTTAGATGGATCTTGGCACGTTGGTATAGAGATCTTTAAAGTCCTGAAGAATCCTGGTAAGGTGAATTGTGAGTGCTCACGTGCTAACTGTAAGGGTGGGGATTGGCAAGGAGCATAGAGGGAGAAATGCCAAGTGATCTACTGTTGTAAAACTTACAGCACTCAGGAGCAGTGATTTTTTTTAAAGTACTATGTAACCTGGGAGAAACTGGAGAGTATTATGTTGAGTGAACTCAGTCTCATAAGGACGGAGTCTGCATAAAACAATTACTGTAAAAACAGAAGGATAACTGGTAAGATGTGTACAAAGTCTAAAGGGGGAGGGAGGAAGGAGGAGAATGGGGATAAAGTGGTGGAGAAATCACAGAGTTCAATGGGTGGAGGGAGGTGGTGAAGGGATTAGGAAAGACCCAGTGGGGTCATGGTAGGCTTAGATCTAGGGTGATTAATGTTATAAAACACAGTGTATGGGAACGAGTGTATGAAACCCAATGTGAATGGAGGAGTATGTGAAACACAATGCCTATAAATGAAACACAATGTACACAAATTTTGTATGCAAACCAATATAAAATTTAAAAAAAAAATTTAAAAATCTACAACTTTGAAAACCGTATAGGGTAATTATACCCTCATATGGAGATGCTATGAGTTGGAATCAACTTGATGACATTTGAGGAAAACAAACCACATAGTCATCTCCTGTCACTACCTGTTTCTCCAGTGGACTAAACCTTTGGGCTTGAGCTTCAATTTTTACTCAAGTTTGTGCTTTATTTTTCACATGTGTGCCTTTGGTGGTGGTGGTGTTGTTGATTGCCTTCAAGTCAAGAACAACTCATAGCAACCTTATGAACAAAAGGCCTGAAGCCCCTCTACAACTATTGACATTTATCAAAGTTTATGGAGTTTCTGGAGGCATGTTGTTTAGGAAGTGGATGCCAACTTGACAATATTAAAATTAATTTAAAAAATTTCAGTGCCGAGGGGAAGAAAAACAATAGAAAGAAGACAAAAAATATGGGGGAGGGGAAAGGGGGACACTTACATTAATGTATCATTTTAGTCTTTTAACAGTAAAGTTTATAGCAACACTATAATCAAGAAAGGCTAATCTAGCTAATGCCAATACTTAGAAGTACCATTTAATTGTATTAGAAATATTTTCATTTAGGAACTCTTCAAGAGGTTCATCTGCAAGTAAGACTATGAAATTTGACTTAAATGAGAAATAGAACCAGTTTCTGGAAAGTTGGAAACTCACTGCGTCTAGTTGCTGCGTGGTTATGGTCGTCTTTCTCACCCTCACGATTTCATGTGAAGGGTGCTTTGTTTTATCTTTCAAGGTATTTCTCCATAGATTGTTTTTCTTTGTCATTTTTTTATACACCCTCAAAATTACAGCCCATTAGCTAAGCAGTCTGGCACAAGAAACATCTATCCTCCCTTTCCTGAACCTAAAAGCTGTGATTAAGCATTTAAGTGTGTCTCTTCATGGTTGCTCCCACAGAGGGGAAAGAATGTGTGTTGGAGGAAGACCATTGCCAAAAGGTTTTGTTTTTGAAAACCAGAATAGAAAAACAGAGTTCAGGGTAAGAAGCCTGTCTGCCGAATTGCTTCATTGTCGAGTCTTTCTTTTCAGGAAATGCTAAATGTGAATGTTGTTGCATGCTCTGGGGATGACTCCGGGTCACAGAGATCCAGTCTGTGACAGATCAGACCCTTGCCTGACCCTGCCCTCGGCATCCCAGTCTCTGCCAGGCGGAAGACCACTTTTAAACATGGCAGAGAGTCACCAAAGGGAGTCAAGGTTAATCTATAACATGTTACGCACTACTGATTTTAAAGAAACATTTGTATCACAGGATTATCTGGACTTGTTCTTTTGTGTGAACTAGAATGCCTGGAAAAGACTGTATGTTATTTAGTTACAGGAAAAGTCTTCAGAATATGGCAGCTCTATGAGAACCCCAACCCTCAACAGACCTGAGAGATCTAAGGGCTGACTCCCTCTGAGCCCTTGTAAGAGGGGGCGAGGGGAGACTGAAACCAGAATCCCACCACACTCCTAAGTGCTTATCCCAACTTCACAGAAGCACAGGGGCAGGAGAGCTACTCCAATCAAATGCATCTAAGGAGTTGGGCAGATTCTGAACTTGATCTAGTCTACAGCTTCTGCCACAAGGTAATGGTAGTTTTGAAAGAACTATAAGAATATCAGGCAACCAATAAATGACTGATGTACAATATGGACACTAATTTCCTATTTGAAGAAATCAATTGAGAAAGATATTTTAAAGACTATTGTGAGTATTCATTTGATGTTATTATGTTCCGTTAAGTTGGAAATGACTCATAGTTAACCCTCCAGCAAGTTTCCAGAGACTAGAAATTTCAGGAGAAGAAGTTGCCTGTGGATTCAGACCTGCATGAGAGGTGACTGCCCACCTTTCTCCTGTGAGCAACTGGTGGTGGATTCGAACCACATGCCTTCTTTGGATTGGCAGTTTAACTCTTTACCTTAAGCCACCAGAGCTCCCTATTATTGATTTAGCATGAAATAATATGAGTAATTATGATTAAAATAGTAATGTCAATAATAATACAATGGCTATACAAGAAATATGAGTCGTCTACGACACCATGGCACTTAACAACAACAACGACGAGAGAGCTCTGTTGGCCTAGTGGATAGAAAGTGATGCTACCAAGCCAAAGGTCGGTGATTTTGTTTTTGGTCAAACATTCCTCTGGTATAGCCCTGGTCTGTCCATTTGCTGTATAGAGGTAACTCGTGTTTGCTATGATGCTGAATTGAACACTGTGACACTGATGTGTCAAATGCCACAATGGTTACCCAGGGTGGACAGTGTTTGGTGGAGTTCCCCAATTAAAACAAGCTTGGAAGCAGAAGTGGCATCTACTTCCAAAAATACCTTGCCTCCAGAAACTCTATGAACTTGGAGAAATGATGAAAGTTATATAAGTGTTCAGGTCTTTTGTTCATAGGGTCACTATGAGTCATGTATGACTCGACCGCACTAAACAACAACATACAAGACAATGCTAACTTTTTAGATATACCTATTATTATTCTTGTTGTTGTTACGTGCCGTCGAGTCGTAGACGACTCATAGTGACCCTATGAACGAAAGGCTTGAGCACTGTTCATAGTGTTTCCGGAGGCAAGCCATTTCGGAAGTGGATGCCACTCCTGCTTCCAGGCTTGTTTTAATCGGGAAGCTCCACCACACACTGTCCACCATGTCTATTATAGTATAAAAAAACAAAATGGCATGATATCTGGAACATTGCTAGACAATATTTAGGAATGAGAAAGAACAAGGGTTCAGGAAACTGTAAAAATCTTGATAATTATTAAATCATTAAATTTCATGATCAGTTAATGGGGAGCTCTTGTGGCCTACTGGTCAGAACTTGTGCTGCAATCCCAAAGGAATACAGTTCAAATCCACCAGCTGCTCTATGGGAAAAGGAGGTGCAAACTCCTCCCACGTGATTCAGTGTCTCTGAAAACCAGCTGCTCTGACTCGATGGCACAACAAAAACAGCTTCTGAGCATGTGTGAATATTTTAATAAATAAAAAGTTTCAAAAGGTTAAAAAAAGCAAAGTGATCAACAATTCCATAAATGAACATAACTGGAGAACTTAGTTCTCCTGGAGTAATGCCCACCGCCCAGCCCTTTAAGTTGTGGCAGGCGGCATGCCAGCCTCCTGGCCAAGTTACCTCACAGTCCTTCAGCGCGTTCTGAACTGAAGCCTGGTCCCCAATCTGATGTTGCTGCTTCAACCTCTTCTCTTGGGTTTCAAACCAAGCTTTCAGACTCTGCACGTTATTCTCGTACTCTGACCAGGATTCTAGCAGGCCTTCCAGCAGCTGGATCTGGACAAACACAATGAAACGAAACGTGTCGCTTTGTTCGACAACCAGATCCCGCACAAAGTGCTCTAGCAATTTCTTAAATCAAGTAGGGTTTTCTGTAGTAAAATATATATAACAAAACTTTTGCCATTTTGCCCATTTTTTTTTTAAACATAGGAACTTGTGCTAGGAGCCCAAAGGCATGAAGTTCAAATCCACCAGCTGCTCCATGGGAGAAGGGCGGGCAAGTTCCTCTCACATGATTTATTATCTTTGAAATTCCAGTGCCATGAATTGTATTCCTACACTGGTCGACCATCATCATTGCTTTTTATGTTTTCCTCTTCATCCCTAAACTGAAACTTGAAGGTAGCACTTCTGGCTTAGTGGTAAGGTGTTATGCTCCGAATCCAAGGGCCTGAAGTTTGAATCTCCCATCTACTTCTTGGGAGAAAGATGGGCAGTCTCCTCCTGTGTGATCTACTGCCTCTGAAAATTTGTTGGAGGGTCAGCTACGAGTCAGTTTGGACTTGGTGGTACACAGCAAAAATACGCAGAAGCTCAGCCCTCATTATAAACCTCTCACTTCTCTCTCCCCTCGCTCCTGACAACCGCTAAGAAACTTTTATCTGCATTCATGTGTTTACTTAAGAATTTCACACAAATGGGGTCATAAAAGTACTTGTCCCTTTGTGCCTGTCTCATTTCACTCAGCTGAATGTTTCCAAAGTTCATTCATGATATGTCATGCATCGGAAGTTAATTTCTCTTTATGACTGGAGAACATTCTACTCTATGTTCATATCGTTTATTTCGTACCCATTTATCTATTGATGGATACTTGCATCTCCCCCTGTAAGCATTCTTAAAATACAACCCTTTGTTATGTATGATAAAAGCAAAACTGAACTTCGTAAAGTAGGAAACAATAAGTACTATTGTTAAGCAGAGGCAGAACTTGAGTAAATCTGAAGGAAAAGTAACCACTATTAAGAGATACTTTTAAAGCTTACAGTAACGTGGATTATACAAAAAGCAGAGAGTATAAAAGAAAAATGCATGCAGAAGACTAAAGGCATTTTAGAGGCTTAACTCTGCTGGTGTCTTTGAAAGAATTTATGTGTCCGTGATAGTCCCACTCCTGGTAAAATGTGTTTTCCTTCAGCCATAGATTTCACGGTGCACCTGCACGTGGCACTTTTGTGAAAACAGAGACGGTAGCAGCAGCAGCAGCAGTAGCAGGCCACGTGGCTTACCTTCTCAGCTACTAAACTCTGCAGGATTTGCCAGCTTTTATTCATCGCGCCGAGTTGCTCCGCAAAGTTGGTCTTATCGCTGCGTTTACTCTCCACGTCCTGAGTGCTGATTTGCAGCACTGACTGGTTCACAAAATCCACCGTCAGCTGTTTGCAGTTAATGTCTATCTTGAAACCCTGAAAAGGAGCAGTAGGGAGAGAGAAGAAACCCAGGTCACGTAAACAAACGTCTGAGCATTTTATCATGAGCTGGAAACTCTTACAACCTCAACTATTAACACGTCATGATTTACCCCAGAAGGCTCAAGTGGGGTAAATCCTTTTTAGAAGTTCTCTTTTGAGATATCTATCTACCTACCTACCTAAACACACACACACACACACACACACACACACACACACACACACACACACGCCAGGATCCCTGATAGCACATTGGTTAGCTGTTAACCAAATGGTCAGCAGTTTGAATTCACTGGCCATTTCTCAAGAGAGATGCAGCTCTCTTCTTCTGTAGCTTGGATCATGAGGAAGCAGGTCTATTTTGTCTCATAGGATTGCTGTGAGTTAGAATCAACTAATGGCAAGGTGGCTTTGTTTTTGTTTGGTTGGTTGGTTTTAACATACATATACACACAAATAGATCTGTCTTGGAGAGGGTGAAACCAAGTTTCTCCTTGGAGACTAGGATTTTGGAGCTCTGTCTCATATACTTTGGGCACGTGGCCAGGAAGGAACTGATCCTTGGAGAAGGACATCATGCTCAGAAGTGGGGAAGACACAGAACAGGAGAGGAAGACCCCGGATGAAATGGATTGATAAAGTAACTGGGGCCACGGGAATTGGTGAGTTGGAGTCAGTGAGATCGGCTCAGGACAGGACAGGCTTCAGAGCTGTCGTACATAGGGTTGCTGTGGGTTGCAGTTGACTTGATGGCACATATCAACAACAACATACAAACAAACACCCGAGTGGTTCAGTAAAACCTTGGGCTTTTGGAATGCTAACTGAAAGATCAGTGATCAAAATTCACTAGCCCTTCCCTGCGAGACGATAAGGCTGTCAGTCAGCTCCTGTGACTATTTACAGAATCAGAAACTGTACGAGGCAGCCCGCTGTCTTACAGGGTCACTATGAAGCAGAACGGAGTTGTCTCTATAGCCCGGGGTTGATCGGCACAGACACACATAGAATAACACACACACACAAATCTACAGGTATATATACACATAAATACATGTATACATATACACATATATACACTGTTGTATTGGAACTTTGTAAATAAACCAGTTGTTGTTATGTGCCGTCGAGTTGTATCTCTGACACACTGAACCCATTGCTGAAGTCATTGTGTCAATCCATCTGGTTGAGCATCCTTCCTTCCTGCCTTCCTGCCTTCTTTCTTTCACTGACCCTCCACCTTCCCAAGCACGAATGTCCTTTTCCAAGGAATAGCCTTCCCTTAGCAACATGTCCAAAGTGTGTGAGATGAAGCTTAGCCATCCGGCCTCCAAGGAGCACTCTGGCTGCACTTTGTCCATGACATGCCCGTTCATTCTTTGGGCAGCGCAAGGGATAGTCAGTGCCATTCTCCACCACCACACACACGTACATGTTGCAAGTGGTTAAATGCTTGAGTGCTACAGAAAGGTTGGTGGTTCAAACCCATCCAGAAGCACCTTGGAAGACAAACGTGATAACCTGTTTCTAAAAAAGCCACGGCCTTGAAATCCTGAGGGAGCAGTTCTCTGCCCACACGGATCACCATGAGTTAAAGCTGACTTGGCAGCAGCCACTAACAGCATAAGTGTCTGTATGTTTATATCCTCACATGTTGTGAGGAGAGACCGGTCCTTAGAGAGGGACATCATGCTTGGGAGGGTGGGGGGACAGCACAGGAGGGTAAGGCCCTCTATGAGGTGGATTGATTCAGTGACTGGGATAATTGGGATGGGAGTGTCAGAGACAGTGCAATTGGCACAGGACAGAGCAGAGTTTAGGGCT